ATAGGAAGCAGATTCATATTCATTTTCTTTACTTTTTCTCTCCATGGCAGCACACTGTCTGCCCAATGAGATATTTCTTTAAGGTGGGCTGTAAAGAGTTAAAAATAAGGAGTTTAATTAGATTTAATATGAAACAAGTGTACTAAAGTCAGTCTACTCTTCTTCATAGCAGAAATGCTTTTTCCTCTTACATCATTGTTCAGTGACATACTTTCTTTACTTCATCTTGCTTCCCCCAAAAAATCTTCAGTATTAAAAAAACACAATAGTTTTATGAAGCAGTGATTTTTCATGCCACTTAGTCTATTCTGTTTAATTTGTTGTAGGATGACTTGAATAGCAGCTTAGAGGTTTTTCAATCATATGCTTTTAGCACACACTGTGGACTACAGACTATGAAGGATAATGTGTTAAATACACTAATTCCCTGCTTTTTTCAAGTGGATTGTTGTAGGTAATAAATATGACTTATATTTAGGGGAGTTGCGTTATTTGTTTAGGATGGGCTATATTTTTGTGCATTTTGTTCTGGGTTAAAATGATTCTCAAATCAGTGACACCTTGCTTTGACATTGTATGTGACATTTGGCATTGACAAATCAAAAAATGAAAAACTAAACACTGCAATTGCAAAAAATAATTAAAAAATTCTTAATTTACTTAATAGAAGATTAGAAGTAAAAAAGTAGAAGTAAAGAATTTTTAGCTGCAGCATTTTTTCCCAGTAAGAGCTGTAACTGTTTTTGGGTCTGAGAGTTGAGCTGAACAAAAGCTTCTACATACTGTATATATATAAGTACATATAAGTATATATATATATATATATATTCTCTTTTTTCTGATTATTCTGGTATTTTGCACAAAGAAAGGCTTTTTAAAATCTTCATTGTCTTTGAACAGACAAAGTGTTCTTAGATTTATTCTCAAACAGTGAAATTTATATAAAAGGTTACTGATCCGTCTATACTGTGAATTTATATATTTACTTTTAACTGTATGCCTGTGTTATGGCTGTACTATGATCTTTAGTGCATTACAGAGGACTACTGTTCAAACAGCAATCATATAATAGCACATAAAATACAAATTTAAAGTGCAGATGTCATAAATATGCTAAATAGGATATGACATCATTAAATGACATTTAGGAAACAGTGTAGCATACCCCAGTTCCATTCCCCTGGGAAGTTTTGGTAGCACCAACTGCTGTTTTGTACTCTGTTTGCAGGATGGCCTCAAATAAACAACCATCCATGCACACCCACACACACACCCAACAGCAACACACACATTTCATCTTAGAAATAGCAAACCCTTAGGTTGTGGTCAAGTTAGGTCAGACAAATGCAGAGATGCAGACATTCGTTTTCATTCATTAATTGGGTTTTACCACATGTCTGAGATATTAGCTGAGGCCACCATTAGCTAATTCAATTTACATAATGAAACTCAGACCACACTGTCCGTTCCTTTAACTGTCAGACACTTGAAAAGCTAATTTTATTATCCTACTACAGCTTACATTAATACAAAGAAAGATGTTTAGCAGTAGCGACAGATGTAGTTTAGAAGTCGGAACAAAATGTGATTCCCTGACTGTTCCCTTAGTTAGCAATCTCTTGGAGTGGTGTCCTCTGTTGTTTTTCTTTTTTTAAATATGAACTCAAAGTACTATTACTAGATGTGTAATGAAATGTGTATTAGATGTGTTATGTTAAAATTACACCTTGGTGAGCACCAGGGTTTTAAATGGGATTGTTAATTTTATGTGGGATTTTATGAAAGGAAACAAAGAGACATCTTATTTCACCTTATTCCAACGGGTGGAAAAAATTGAAACATTGAGTTGTTTACCAAATAGAACTCTCTGAAAATAAACCATTTGGCAAGGTAAAGGCAAAAGCCTCAAAAGGCTAAGTGCAACTGTAGATTACACTTGATTATATAAACCCTGCATAGGCAGATAGGTAATTTCATAACATTTTCTGTAATTACTATTTGCAGGTCTTCAAGGCATGTCTTTGTTTTTATTTAATTCGCTTAATTGAATATTTTCAACTACTTGATAATATTTTTCCTAAACCTAAACTACATAAAGACATGTTATGTTGTCAAATTCAATGTAAAGACAGATAGCAAAGGCATACGCAGTGGATAAGACTGAATGAATTAAATGTATGGAGTGATCTACTTTACAGCAATAGTCTTAAAGAAAAAAAACAAAAACAAATTAATATACGTTGAAAAATTAAATAAATAGATTTCTTTTTTTTTCTTTTTCTTTTTCTATCTGGGGGGATCAGCAAAGCTTTGTTCATATGTGACTCATTTTCAGTGTGGACACATTGAAAATTCTGTTCATTTACTGTTCATTCTCTGACCCCAGACACAGTTTTTCGGCTGAAACTGACTTCAGTGCTCCTTTGGAGGGAGGGCCCGCATCAACACTCGCTGAAAACAGTAAACTAAGAACAATGGGTACTTTTACAAGTTGTCAAAGTCTCCAACAACACAGAAAAAAAGTCACTAGATTTGTCTCTAGATGCTCACAAAGCCGTTAACTCGGCAACAGTGTTCTCATGTCATAGGCTGAGTAGCCAGCAGGGGCTACTGTTTAAAAGGGATAAACAGCTACGGCACATTCACTGGTAGGGAATAAATATTAGTGATATACTTTACATTGACGTACAGCTGCACAGCTGCAGCCCACTGGCGGTCTTTAACTTGAACGACAGTATACACTAACGGGGATACGGTTTGAACAGCATATACAGGAGAATGATTGACATAGTTAAGGCATTCCCTCTGGCTCTGATCAGTTGTTTCTGACCAGGAGCGATGTGTTTCTGCAAAAGTCAGGAAAACCCCTGGGAGGAAGGAGAAAAGCTTGTTTTTTTCACAGATTATATATCAAATATGTTACTGTCAGGACATAGTGATAGTTTTAGCTTACATATTATATCTTTAAACTGAACGTTTTGTGTGTATTATTGAACCATATCATATATCTTTTTTTTTAAATCTACAATATTCTTCCATTTTCCATTAAGGTGGTCTTTGATATATAAATTTCGGTCCTAATTTTGAATCCAAGTCTGCAAGTCAACTTTTTATTAGAAAAGGTACTTGTAACTCCTTGTCTGTCAAGCTTGGACTAAAGTCCCCCATTTTAAGTGTAGACCAATGAAAGGTTGTAATGCTATAAAAAATGTCTCAGATAAGGATCCTACATACTACATTGCTGCTGCATATTTACTGTTTTTCTCCTCCATAATCACAGTAGCTTAAGGTCAAGTCATAAAGTTCTCCAGCAGTAGATTCTAACAATAGTCAAGGTTCCTCTAAAGTTCCTCATGAGACCATTGCGGCAGAATACCCACCTCTATGCTAGATCATTCTACAGAGGTACAGGTTTAGTCCCTTGTAGACCTATTGTCTCAACCATACTAGGGCTGCAACTAATGGTTATTTTGCAAGTTGATTAATCCATTCATCGATTCATTTTCTTCTGCTTTATCCGGGGTCGTGTCGCAGAGACAGCAGTCTAAGCAGAGATGGCCAGACTTCCCGATCCACATACACCTCCTCCAGCTGCTCTTGGGGGACCCCGAGGCGACACCAGGCCAGCTTTAGAGATGTAGTCCCTTCTGCGTGAGCCTGGGCCTTACACAAAGCCTCCTCCCAAGTTGATTAATCTGTTGATAATTTTTGCGATTAATCGATTAAAAATCGGATATAAACAGCTACCATAAAGAAGACCTTTTGCAAAATTAAACCAACTTTTCCGCTCGAGTAAGTCTGGATAGGACATATTAACAGACAAATAAGATTTTATCTTAAATGCAAAATGTTTACATATTTTTTTTTTTTTTTTACAGTTTTGGTATAATTGCTGCCCAAGGTGGGTTGCTCTGTCAGCTAAAGGCACATTTTAGGTTCTCTAGTCCCTAGTTAACTATTATTCAATTACTAAATTAGTTAATGATTTTTTAAATCATGGATTTATCACGATTAATCCAATTAATAGTTTCAGCCCTAAACCATTCCTAAAACCTTGTGCAGTGTGAAAACATCCGGGTTGGCCAGTTTATCCAACTTGATGCTTAATCCAGACATCAAAGATTGTTTTGGGGGCTGTTTGCTGTTATCTAGAACTCAGTGTGGTGCTGTATGATGCTAATTTGCATATTAAATAACCAGAAAGTATTTATATCTTTTGTGTCATATTCAAATGAACAAATTTTTTTTTTCAAAATATCGTAATAAATAACTTGAATCAGTAAGGGGTTTAAAACATGTACTCTTTGGGTACACATGGCTTCCTGTATTGAAAGGCCTGTAGTGATAGATCAAATTTTCTGTAAACAACACCTAACTCTAACTCACATTTTATCATTTCACCCTAGTTGCACTTTTTTGATATAAGCTAAATTGTATTTTTCTTGCTTTAAATTTTTCTTAGATACATCTATGCTTAATGTAAGTTACCCAGATTTTATGAAAATAAACCTTTGGTCTGAGATAGTCTTGCAATTTGGATTATTGATTCTATTATCAGTAGAAGCAGCTTTTTTTAAATATACCTTTGTATTATGTATCATTATTTTACAACAAAGAGACTAATTAGATGTACTTATTTGATGTAAATTGTATGGGCACATAATCCTAGCATCTGCTCCAATAAAGAAATGATAAAAGAAGACATAAAAACATGCTATCGGCAGCTTTTTAAGTCAGCGTTCTTCCCAAATTAGTCTCTATATCCTATTACCACCTAAATAGGTCCTGAAGACACGTCTCACTTTAAATGCTTTCCCTCTGCGCCTTGAAGTCATGACAGGCACTTTAAATTGATATGTTTTGTCTACTTGTGGTTTTCCCCTCTGAGAGGCTTGAAGCTGCATCAACTGGTCTCTGCCACTGACTAATTGGCTGTTTTGCAAACAGGCTGCTGCACAGGTTTATGTTCAACCATGTTGTGTTTGCTTGTGGTCCCACAGAGCGCAGCGTCCTGCAGAGTCCTGCTTTCACCAAACAGCCAGGCAGCATTGTGTATCCTGTGGAGACGGTGGGGAACAACAGAGAGGTGGTATTCAGCTGCGAGGCCCAGGGTACCCCACCTCCCACATACCGGTGAGTCTGAGAAACCTCATATTTTTTTAGTCGGCAGCGATTCTCCATTATCAGTGCCAGATCTGCTGACAGTTCAAATATCAACATATTGCACACAGGTGTCTGCAGCACTCCTCCTTTGCATTTGTTCATCTCTGAATGGCAATAAAGATAAACTAATGGAAAATAAAATAGTCATAAAACCTGTAGCAGACTAAGACACGATCAGAAATCCTGATACTGCGAGGCGGATCATTTCCTAATATGTTAAAGGCTCTTCATATTTTCTATAAATCAACAGTTTCCTAGATTATAAGAGACTCTGTATTCCAAGACAGAAATATTAAAAGCACCACCGCCAGAAAAAAATCCTTCCTTTTTTTTTCCTTTCACATTTTGCTTCATTACAGTCTAAAACATTTTCTTATATTTTTTAAACCTTTTATTATTTTTGCCTTTTTTTATTATCTTTGTGTGTAAACAGTTTGGGCACTATCTAAGTAAAAATTGTGATTTATATGTGTAAGCAAAATAAGAAAACAGCTTCTTGCCAATCCTTAGCTGCTAGTTATGCTAAGTATGCATTTATTTTCCGTTGCTAAATTAGTGCAAACTACCTCTGGTCATCTAGTTCACAGTTTCAAATGCTTGAACTGATCGAAGTTAATTTGAAGTACTGCAACTTAATACAACTTCTTTTAAACTGAGATTTAATAAACATTTCTGTACACTGATAAATTTCAAATGGATGTTTTAATACCTTTTCTTTTTACTTTAGAATTACAATAGCACCTAAACTTGACTGAATTATTTTACACCAATTACACTAATTTATTATTTATTTATTATTGATGAAATTAATAAGAAGTTAAATGTAACGGTCAGAGACTTTCTTGGCATTTTCCTATGAAATAGATGAGATTTGTTTGGTTGGTTTTTATTAAAAGCTTCTTCAGCTCTTTATTTTTCCAGTTTTTACAGCTAATGGTTGCAAGGCAGAAAAAAAGATTGTCCTATGCTGTAATATTATGCAGAGTAGACTTTAATTATGCCCTTGGATTCTACTTCCCATTCAGCGTGAATGAAAACGCTCCAGGCTTTGTTTCCTGATGAGCCAACAAGACAGTCTTGGCTTGTTAGCTACAGCTCTGGAAAATAACTCACACATATCCTTTCGCATCATGCCTACCCCGATCGGGATCAGAAAGCTGCGTCTTGTGGCTTGTGTTTTGTAAAGAGTATTTTTTTATCCGACCCCCTGCTGGAAACGAGCTGGGTATCCGTTGCCTGGGAAAGCATGTTGAGCTCTGCATGCAATCATCCAGTTCATAATCTTTCTACTCTTTTAATTTTCCCCTCACATTGCACAGTTCTTTTTTGTTCCAGAACTGTTGCGAGTTAAAGTTGAAGTTAGTCACGCTTGCTAACAGAAATGACAGGGATAAACTTTGAAAGGATTGCAGTGGTTCATGCTTGGGACAAGGCCAGCTTTAAGTTTTGAACTAATCAGCTCAGTCTTGTCAAGGTTGCTGTGTCTTCCTTTTAAAGCTTCTGTTTACAACTAAACAAAAGTTGCAACAGGCATATGAGAGCTAAGTCAAAGTCAGTATTTGATGATCAGCTGTTATTCATAAGGAAATTGTAACAATGCAGGAATGTACATGTAATTTAACAGCCATCTAACAAAACACCATTGGGCAACGTTAGTGGAAATGTTCTTAAAAGAGATTATAAAAAAAAACATATTAAAACCAGAAATCCTTTTTCAAATAATTTTAACAAATCTAAAGTGAAAAAAATCAATTAGGTCCCCTGACAAGTAGGCTGACCTTCCTTCAGGTAGGTCTTGTACAGGTCTAGGATAAGGAAAAAGCATCCAACATTGTAGTCTAAGGACTTTACCTTCAGGTCAGATCTGTAGAGTATGTTTTGTAAAAAATCAGCAACCACTGAGACAGTTTCTTCCCCTGGCTGTCTCTCTGATAAACACAATTAACACCTTAGAAATGGAAAAATCAGCCATACTGGTGTAAAAAGAAAGAAAAAGACAAGACTTCACAATTCACTACCTCCCTCTTAATTTTCTTTAAATAAAAAAAAAAAAAAACGATGTAGATTATATAAAGTATTTATACCTCATGTCTGAACTCTTTCGGTGCTTTAAAATTAAAATCCATTAACAATTCTGGCTTTACATAACAGAGTTTTGGTCAATGATCTCATTATGCTTGTTGCAGAAATATTTTTTCTCTTATAACTTATTAACTTTTATGGAAATTTATAATGTATTAAAATTACAAAAGTATACAAAGGAAAAACTTTGAAAGAAAAAAAATAGCCTTATAAAGACCCCTCATAGATGGAGACCAAACATATTGAGAGAGACAAGGAACGCTTTAAGTCAAGATTAAAGACAGCAAGGGGTAGTAGTCTTTTAAGGCTGCTAAAATAGCATGCTTTAAGAAAGCCATTAAAAGTTTTGTGTTAGAGGAAAAGGAGCACTACAGGAGACTGTGTGCTCTTAGATTTCCTTTTCATTCTGTATAGAAACTGTTCTGAAAAGAAAAGTGGGACAATATTCGTTGTGACATAAAATACACCTAACTAGTTGCAACAAAAGCTTAAAAACCATTAAGCTTGATGTTGCATTTACCCAAAAATGTGTTTTCCACAAACCAGAGCAATGAATTTACATGTTATCCCTATGAACAAGCTTCAATCGTTTATGAAGAAATATTTTTAAAGTTCCATAATAAACTTTTATGCTTTATCACATCATGATAATGAATCAGGGAGTAGATGATGTGGATGCATCTCAGGGTGAAGAAATGCACTAGACACTAAGCCTTTTTTTCTCCATTAAAACTTTAAAAAGATAAAGATTAAAAAAAGATTTTAAAAAATTGACATAAAATGAAGAAAAGATTGTTATTTTAGAGGTTTGTGGCTGGCTTTTAAAATAGCTAGTCTAATTTAGCCCCTAAAATGACTTATATTATTCAATATTTGTCGCTGATCTATCGCTGTCCTACTCCTTAATTCAGGGTGGGGCACAGCCAGACACAGCAATGCCCACATTTAACCATAAATAAGGCAATCCATAGGCATTAATGCAAATTATTGAGGAGAAAATAATGCAAAAATAAAGTTTAGCCATAAGAGAAAAAGATGTGTTGATGAATACGTTGGAGAGTATAAGAAATGTGTTTGGAAGTCACAGTAGTAGGATGACATAAAAAAAAAAAAAAAAAAAAAAAAATTATGAATGGGTACAACTCATAGTCTGTTGTATGGGGTGATCATATGAACAATGTCATTCAAGATGGCAGTCAGTAATGTAAATTAACAATGGCTGCTATATCGCAGTCCTTTGGACCATTTCATGTTTTCAAGCACATTTCACACTAAAGCTTTGATTTCTAAGAAAGAAAAAGATTGAAATGTGCTGTACCTCATGCAAACATTTTGCAGAGAGAGGAAGCTGTCGATAAAGATAATGATCAACTTTATAGGATCTGAAACTCCAGCATATAAGTTAATTCGTTGTTGATTATTGGGGAGATTCACACAGGTAAAAGACAGTTACGGACTAACTGTAATATATATATATATATATATATATATATATATATATATATATATATATATATATATATATATATATATATATATATATGGATAAGTAACACACTGTACTATCAAATTGGGCAAAGAATACACTTGTTTAGATTAGACCAGATCTGTTTGATCTGCATTAAGAGGACTTTGGCATATAGCCATTAACTAGTCGTCATCATAAACCTGGCAATCAAGTTCTCTCCCTATTCTCCCATTAACAAGGTCTCTCAGCAACGCCTGTATGTCCATGTGCAGCATTGTGCATGGTTGTCATGAGAGTCCTTAAATATTTACAGTTATTGGTGTGGTTGTTGCACACCTTGTCACAATTTGTAGGTTATTCTCTGGTTTACATATATCGTTTTAAATAGGTAGAGGAAGCCAATGGTGAGGTAACATTTAAATATTTGACAAAATTTGATTTAGAATGAAAAAAAAAGATGGCTCAGAAAACTTTGTTTCTATACTGTATGTGACAGCTCATTATGTGAAGTAGCTGCTCACAACTGTAACTATATGCTGGAGTTTCAGATCCTATAAAGTTGATCACTATCTTTATCGGCAGCTCCTTCTCTCTGCAAAATGTTTGCATCAGGGACAGCACATTTCATTCTTTTTCTTTCTTAGAAATCACAGCTTTAGTGTGAAATTTGTTTTTTGCATGTTCATAAATGAGAACCCAGATCTCTCCATCTTCAAGTTCCTTTACTTCAGTTCTATTTAGTTGTTGATGTAATTAAAATCAAAGGTACATATGTGCATAAAAGCCAGTGGAAAATTAAACGTGGATACCAACTGTGTGCTGTAAAAGTACAGTCTGTATTGACGTGTTATATAAATTCAAACCCTTCTTGGGCTTCCATAGCTCAGGGTGACATCAGTTAATCAGTTTTTGTCCTTAGATGTGTACTTAATAATGATAAACCAGCTCACTGTGTAATACCAATACCTGCAAAATTGGGACTCATCATAGTCTGCTATGGCAGCATCGTGATCTGGGTTTTCTTTGCTTCTATCCTCTCAAGTAACACCTGGAATGCAGAAAGCAGACATTGGATTTCTTATTGTCAATGTAAATCAAGATGTGTAAAAACCAACTTAAGATTAAATAGAGATTAAAATGCAGTTTTGGTAGTCAACTTCTTCTCCAAAGAGATTTGAAGAACTTTTTCTAAAGCAACACTGGATAACTTTTCACCTGAGTACTTTTTTCGAGGTTATTACACACCAAGTGGTATTCAAGTACTTGGTGCGTATCAATGCTCAGTGAGGTCAGCCCTTTTCAGAAATGTTCCTATGTCACTTGGGAGGGTTGGATCTATCGCTGAATGCATCATGTGACCTACAGTGCCACGTTATGGCAGTATGAGCTACCTTTAGACATCAGAGCTAACTAAGCTAAA